GTGAAGCCTATCCGTCATGACAAAGAATTAAGAGAAAGGCCTGGGTTGTATCTCATTGAATCATGTTGGTGAAAGCAACAGTTTCTCAGTTTCTCACTTTCTGGTTAGCATGCCTTTAAAAAATTTGGTGGTTCGGATCTATTCATTCGTCAATTTTTTGCGGACCTCCCCGCCCCCATTGCTACACTTTATTCGCCTTTCTGGAGAAATGAGAAGAATGGGAAAGTACTTGAATAGGGCCAGCAAGGAGTTGCGCATTAATCCTACGCTGACGGGGGTGAATGTGCTCACTTATATTGTGATATCGAGGGATTTCACGCATGAATATCACGTTAAGAACAGGAGTAAGCCTTGACGTAGTTACTTGGATAATCTAAACAATAGTAGCGGTGTAGTAGTACTTGGACTGCAGTACTAGTATACTGCGTTTCATAGGTGTAAGATCACCCTCGAATTTGGTATTTACAGGATAAGCAGCCAAGCAGATATCGTTCTGGCACCACCATTAGATTCATCATCTTCGATATCCTCCAACTTGCTTCTGTGCTCAACTTTTATATTAACATTTAAATGGGTTATTTTCTATTTTCCTCCGTTTTATAAGTATAAAATCACCCTCGACAGAGCAAAGGTTTTGAAATCGTGTGCAGCAGAATCTGCACATGGAAGGATCTCTGTAGGAGAGAACATGTAGCAAGTATGTTTGGAAGCAATATACACTTTGCCTCGCAGAGATCATCGTTCTTTAGAAGAAGAAGCACAAAATCGAAATTTTCAGGATGCAGGGTTCAGTACGAGGGCAATTAGGCTTTGAACCAAGTACGGTCGAAGTTGGTTCTCTCGGTGTCCAAAACTACTATGAGCAGCAGTATTGTCAGGGCAGCAATGAAGAGCATTCCGAGGCTTACCCCATCACAGGAGTGCACGACTTGAATTTGCGAAATTGAAATTGGGATGGGATTGGACCAAAGTCAGTCTGTATTGCCGATTGGCCATACAGTCCAATATCCTCATTCAGCTCGTATTTTTCGATGTAAAGAAAGTTAATTCGAAGGCCCGATGGTTACAAGTACTACCGATCAACTCTAGTCGTCGCAGTTTTAGAAGGGGAAGTGTCATGAAACGGGGTGCACTCTACAAAGAAGTCGGGCTGGAGCTTGCTCTCGCGACCTCCAAAAGGGACTCCATGGACTTTCAGGAAGTCTTACCATGGCGTCTGGTGCCATTTCTGAGCCAGCGGCGTGGTCCTAATGCGTTTTCAACAGGTTAGTTCTGCTATCCATGTTAGTCGTTCTACGAAAGACTAGTTCCTTTCCCAAAATTTCGAAGGCTATGACATGGCTAGCTTGCAGCACCAATCTGAATCCGATGGAGAATCTTAGGGGCGTCATTGTAAAAAAAATTCGAGCGAACAACCGTCAGTTCAAGGCGGCAGAAGAGCTCAAGCAGGCCTTATTCGGAATGAAATCTCCGGCGAGGTCTTTCGAAACCTTATTTCGAGTATGCTATGTAGGCTATTTGATATTGGGCTAGAACAAGGAAGTTTCAGTGACCACTAAATGTTTTTTTTTGTCGTTACTGATGACGATATTTTTTTCGAATTCTCAAAGTGATCTTATTCTTATGAAACAGCGTTGATTCAAAGAATGTCCGTGCGTGGGGTTTATTTAGGGAGGTGAATTTGATAGTAGTGCTCAAAACTTATCTGCTTGGCTGCTTATCCTGTAAACAACAAATTTGAGGGTGATCTTATGTTTATGAAACGCACTGTATACGTAGATGTATAATAGGGGCACAAACCTATCGAAGCCTTAATGTGGGCATAAGAAATTGTGGTATTCAGAAAATCACTTGAATCACCTCTTTGACCGTGCGTTTCGTGTTTCCAATCCTGGGTGATAGCAGGCGAACGGTTTTGTTCCCGACAACGTTTCCTGCAGCTGACGCAGCAAGCTTGACTCCTGAAATTCAACTTTTGCCTTGATTTGTTTCCGTCTACAGTAGCCTGCCTCGGCTCACTAAGGTAACTTAAAAGCAAGCCGATGTGAGCAAGTGTCGGAAAGTTAGATCAAGCTGCCAATCGGGAATGCTGGGACCTTGATACCCCAGTGCCTCACCATGTTAGCTCATTCCGGTAATATTTTTTCGCAAATGATGGATTCGGTCTTACGTCACGTACCTTGAGCTAGGAATGCACTGAGTTGTTGAAGAGCTCCATGATCTTTCGCGATTGAATCACGAACAGTGCCATCGACATTATGTTGAGCAAAAGGCACATTATTACCACTGGAAAAGACAGCGAATCACGCGGATCAGAAGCAAGGACTAGTTGCTTGGAGTTGGCCAGTACTGAATTTACGCCGACTATCACCCTCCTCTTACAATGCTGTCTTTGATTATTGTCGTGTTGGATACAGATGTTATGTATGAATCTTCGGTGAAGTACCCAATTAGACGTCACTCTCTCCCTCTCGCAAATGAAGCTGGTGGTGACTGGGCTTCATTTTTCTTCGATACTCCTATCCCTTCCTATCCTTTCCCATGGATCCTTAGATTATTTTGGAGTGAACTAAGCGTGGTATTCGGTTCATAGATCATACTCGTGGTAATGGTATCTAGCGCTACCTGCAAATGAATTATTTCGACAAAAGAAGTCCAACAGGCGCTCGACGGGCATTATTTAGAAGTGCAGTTCGGGACGATTTTGAGCTATTTAGCTTAAGCGAAATAATAGAATTTATTAATATTTCCATTTACGGTGGAAATTACGGTACAAAAGACGAAGACTAACCTTGACAGCATGGCTGAAAGTCGATTCTGTTTTTCATTGTGATTCCGATAATACATCAACTCTTCGGCTAGAGATCGCCATCTGAAAGCGATGGATAGGGTGCTTCAGCAGAACGACTATTCAGACGACAGCACTCACCCTGTGAGGGAAGAAGACTCTTCTCCTCTTAACACCATAGCCGTTTTCCGTAAATGATGAGACATTACACCCACGAACGAGTCACCTTTCTCTGGCAGCAGCTGATAGGATTGCTTCGACACGATGGACCGGGTGAATCTGATCGTTCCCAATGTCAGTTTATCGCCTTCACACTCTTTACGGGAGTTAGGACCTACCTACTTTTCCGTACTGTTTTCCTACTGAGTTTTTCGATCATCTCCCTGTCGTAGAGCAGCTTCTTCGTCTTCCGAGATGCCAAAACTTCTGAAGATAAAAAATATAGCGATCTACGTGCTTTTGGGCCATTTCTATTTGAAAATATCACATTTTGAAACAGTAGTGGAAAACAATTTCGTCACAAAAAAAGTGACGGGTTCTATAAAATAAGCTGTTTTTCGATGCTGCCCTTAAGACACTGGAACGTCACGCAGGGTCGGTAGATTGGAAGTTCTATTGAGCTGACACCTACCCACTCGACGCAGTACTTTGTGCCTGGACCTTTTCTTCATTCTTCGTAACCTTTCCATCAATGCGACGAAACACTTAGCATCTGCGGAGAAACTGTCTGAGACAGAGAAACATCGCTCGATTGTTGATCGGCTGGATTTCGAGAGGGAATCCATTCTGAACATTGCAGATTTCCAAGAAGTACGAGATCGGAGGACAGGCACTATCCATGCCATTGGTATGGTTCGTCAAAATAGTGAAGGGATAGGATGGACATAGTCCTAAGAGCGAGCTTTTTTCTCTGGAAACTCCTAGCGCTGCTCAACTTCAGCAGAATGTTTTGATCATTATTTGGAACCCAAGCGAACCCCTGCTAGGCAGTACTATTTATCGGTCGTATTCAGTAGTTCTCTATGGAAAGTTAGAAATGAGTGCTTAGTGTTAGGCCTATTAGGTAGACGGATGAGTTTCACCTTTCTCTAGCCAAACTGCGTAGAACAGCCGTAAAGGCCTTGGTTGTCAGATTGGCATAGAACTCCTCGCCATACTCTCGTGTGGCCGGTAGGATTAATTTGTTTTCATCAAAATTCTTTCGAAGATGCTTCGGAATGTCTTTTTCGTCCAATCCATGGCAGACAGTAATCAGAAGAATCGCTAAAAATAATTAAAATAAATACAAACATGATTAACACAAACATTTCTGAATTCAAACGTTTCTAGCCTTTCTTTTGGTCATTCAGAAATGGTCCACAAAGGCTTACAGATCTCCGAAAAAATTTAGGAGACCTTTGAATTTTGTGGGGACGAATATTCTAAAATCTCAGTTTTAATCTTGGAGTAAACATCATCAAAGTAAATAAATCAACAATAATATCCAACAAAATTTTGGAAAATATGGCTCGAAATTTTTCATTTTGAGCGGTATTTACCTTTTTTACCAGTTTTGCTCACTAGCTCAGCAGAAAAAAAGAATTGCTCGTAACATTCATTACCAGAAACTCAGGGTTGAGAGGTAATCAACACATAAAAAATTTGTTGTTTAGGGTACGACGTTGACAGTAAATAATCAATATGCATTTTTAACTATTAAATGAAATCATTGAGGCTCAAATATTGTTTGATTCCATGGTAAAATAGAATTAAATCGACGAAATGGTTCGGTAAAAAGTCAAGCTATCATAGAAAATGATACATATGCGCACATACCTTGGCCCAATAGACGCATGATTTACGGTTGCCTATCGTAGCGTGAATTCATCAGAGAAATGTATCAGTCGCGTACTAAATAGGAAAGAAGATTAATTCGGTTCATTGGATAGGTTACCGCACCGTACGCACTAACTCTATCCTTCTTCTCTCGAATCCTTTTGATAGACGTTTTAATGGGACCCTGAAATAAATCTCCCACCTTGCATCGCTTTGAGGACCATCAAAACTTGCCAGCAATCTATCCCGGGCCTAAACAATGTGTTCACAGAGGTTCAATAGTAGAGCATTTGGAACGGTTGTGTTACCGCCACGTATTCGGCTTCTATTCAAAAATGCAGGAGCGTTTGATTGGTTTTATTCCTAGGTTAATCAAAAGGTTCTACAGTTTCTCCTGATCCATGAGGATTAGTGTATTCAAATCTTCAAACGCTCATAGCACCATTTCTGCTCCTCCAGTGGTAGCAGAACAAACTTGGGTGAGACGCATTCCCAGTTTCATTTTCGTTTCCAACCGAGAATCAGTTATGTGGGAGGCTGTTGTTAAGCCATTGCTCCACGCAGTATTTACTAGGATATCACTGCTTCAAAGCAAATGGGTATATATGGTTGTGGGATGGCCCCATGGTGATATTATTGAACTTCTTCTTTTGGTTATCGGAGAACAAATTGTTCTTATGCTGAAATACTGGGCAATGAGCAACCCACAGCCGGAAAACTCCACGATTCCTACACCTCACCGAAATGGTTCGGTAGCGATCAAGTAGTGATTTAGGCTGTGTCATTGCTTGTAGAAGGTTCGTATCCAAAAAAAGCAATTCGATTAATCGATACCCGAATTGTTGAAATTGATGTTTATTTAGGTGATACATCAACCGAGTATAAGCCACGACCTTTAAGGCGATATAAAGCTTACCTATAAGGATTCTTGTGCCCCTTTTTGATGAAACCCGACTCAGCTGCCCCTTCACGGTTTGACAATTCAGTAAATACCGAGGCAATTATTGAAAATGATCATCAAGACTAGTGAAAAGGGCTTTCATTGTGATAGTACCTTGATGTTTTAGAACTTAGGGTAAGGTTCGGAAGTTCATTCCGAGCGTCTTGATCGATTAAATGTGCAGAGTACTCAATGTCCAGAAGATGGTATTGGGGACCGTTATTTTAGTTTCTTTTACTAACTTTTTACTCCCACTGTGGTCTGTACGTCAACTGACCATATAATTCACCATATCCATCAGATGTCACTACACCTCTGAATGAAAATTGAAATTTTGCTGTCGAAACGAGATTGATCAGTGCTGATCAAATCGGTCTTTGACCTTCCGCCATGTGTGCGGTCAACTCCGAAGCTCGTATTACTCTGTCGCTTCTATGCCTCTCCACTAATTTTATATTCGATGTGCATTCTGTCTTTGTCTCTTGTACAAGCTATAATTATCAGCTGATTCTTTATTCGGTGCCCTTTATTTGGCACATTCACCAGTTCGATGACAAATCAAGCTGGATTGGCAAACCCAACTCGCTCATTTGCGTAGTCAAATATAGTATAGAAGTTGCTCATGAAGGCATCGCCAAGAATCCAAAGTTCATCTGAAACTATGAACTTGTCACTTCTGAAACCAGCGACTAGATGTTACGGAGCTTACCGTTTCCGGATGGCATCTTCGAGAATGCAACAATGCATCCCCCGTCGGGTTGCTGGAAAAACAGTTCCGAATCGAATATTTAAACAGCTCTTTCAAAGCGCCCACATCTAACTCCTCTAGACTAGGCAAACTTGCAGCCTACTGCTTCTTCAGCGTTCCATATCATGACTTCTTGTCGAAGATGCGCTCGGATTGCGCATTAGTCCCTCAGCCAAGGAAGCTACAGTGTGTTTCATAAGTATAAGATTACCCTCGAGTTTGGTATTTAGTGGATAAGTAGCCAAGCATCTCTACATCTCTTGCCGGCACCACCATTAGATTCAGCACCTTCAATAACCCCCCACATTCAAGTTACGGTTTACTCAACTTTTATATTAACATTTATATAGTTTTCAATTTTTCCGCCGTTTCATAAGTACAAGGTCACCCCCGACAGTACGAAGATTTCGAAATCTAGTGCAGTAGAATTCACACTTGGAAGGATCCGTATACGAGAGAATGTGTCGCAAATGTGTTTTGAAGCAATATGCACTTTGCCTCGCGGAGGTCATCTTTCTTCAAAAGAGGAAGCACAAAATCGAAATTTTCGGGATGCAGGGTTCAGTACGAGGGTGATTAGGAGGGGAATCGTGTAATCCACAGCCCCGTTCAAAAATATATTTTAAGAATACAGATCTCCCACTTTAACAGGACGCCCGTGCAAGCTAACCGAGCGCCGCAACTCGGGGCAGCAATGAAGAGGGCCTCGAGGCTTACTGATCACTACAGGAAAGCACGACTTGTTTGCGAAATTGAATTTGGGATGAGATTGGACCAAAGTCATGCTATATTACCGGCTAGCCATACGGTCCAATATTCTCGTTCAAGTCGAATTTTTCGATGTAAATAAAGTTAATTTGGACGCTCCCGTTGGTTACAACTACTACTGGCATGACTTACGGAAAGAGCCGACCAACTCTAACCGTCGCAATTTTGGAGGAGGAAGTGTCATTGTACACGGTGTCTTACAAAGACGTCGTGCTGGAGCTTGCTTCCGCGACCTCCAAAATGGACTCCAAGGAATTTCAGGAAGGCTCACAATGGCACCTGGTGCCATTTCTGAGGTCTTAACCTTGTCTTTCTACAGGGCAAAGCTGCGATTCCCTTAGTCATGCCACGAAAGAATGGTTACATTGCCAAAACCTCGGAATTCTGGCATGGCCAGCTTGCAGCCCAGATCTGAATCTCGAATCTTGGAGTGAATTCTCCGACACTTCGAAACCTTGTTTTGAATATTCCATGTAGGTTATTCTATATTGGGCTAGAACAAGGAGGACCCATTGACTAATTGTTTTTTCGTCGTTACTAATAATGTTTTTTCAAAGTCTCAAAGTAATCTTATACTTATGAATTGTATTTCCTCTGGCAACAAGTCAGCCGAAGTTCAGGAAGTCGATTCGATTACCTCAATGATGTATTGTTGTCCTTCAAGCTCAAATTCATACACAACTCCGTTGCTCCAAAGTTTGAAAGTGATTGTTGGATAATTGGAAACTGTACTGCAGTCAATCGGTTCGAGTTCTGTCACGCCGAGAGAATCCAATATCTAAAACGGAAGAAAAGCGAACGAAATTCGCTGAAGCTGGTATTCCAAAAACTGAAAAGGGTTTGCTGGATCCTACCTCTTGGATGTTTTCGGGGGGTCCAACTATGAACGAAGTCCCACTATCGACGGCTGCCATGAAAGTTCCTGGGATAGTTGAAGGATCGCCTGATTCTGCTCCGACGGTGATTCCTACCAGAAGGAATGTCCAGTAGAGTTTAGCGTAGAGCGGCACCCATGTGATGTTACCCTTGAAATCTTCAATCAGTTCCACTTATCAGAAGTCTTAAGGCTGTACCTGATAGCGGGAAGGGTCTGTTCCACATAACGTCAGCTCTCCACCCTCAGCAGTTTCGAAGGAATTGCGTTTGAGCCAGAAAGCGAAAACAGCTTCCGGACACGCTGTCTGCAAGACCATATTTGTAAGTCTACTAACCACTACACTTCCGAAATTGGCACCCTTTCAAACAGTCCCGGTGAGCGGTTTCACTTAATCCAATACGTGATCTCTTGATCTTTTCGTTTAACCGTTACCCGCGACTGTGGAATGAGCCGTAAGAAATGAAAATGACCTTGTTAGCAAAAAGATGTTCCAGAGGTGTCGTAATGTGACCCTTAGATATTGAAGGCCACGCCATACCGAGAGTGCCGTCGGGTTCAGTACCCTGAAATCGGAACGTATCTACCGCGTTTCTTTATTTCGATTCATTACATTTCCTTGATGATTTAAGCTCACATCCAGATTGAGCACATACTCTGCACAAACAAATTCTTGGCGGAAGCAGTGCTTCGGCTTCGTATCGATCTAGAAGAAAAGCATTGACATCTTATTACAACAATTCCTTTCGAGATGCTGTGAGACTCACGCAAACGGTATCGCTGTAGAGGGACCCGTTGGCGCCGCCGATTCCGTAAGGAAGACTGAGGAGTCCATGCTCTTGCTTGCAAGTTGAAGATTTCTTGCAGGTAAACTACGAACGTTTGGGTAATTAATCCAAGAAAGAGCTCTGAAATCTGGAACTTACCTTATTGTGGGCTTGACAGAATTCAGCGGTCTCTAAGCAGTTTGCGCACGGAACCCACAGATTGGAAGAGCCAGTGTCAAACACTACAGTGAAGTTCTGAGGAGGATCGCCAATCTGGATGGGGCCATAGTAACACGTCTAAAAACAACTGTACAGCTATGCGACTTTAGCCTTTATTGCGTAGCCCCTCACATCAAAATAGTTGGTGTGTAGTGTTTCACTTGAGCCATGAGGGCTGTTCTCATTTTCCGTGTTGTAGCCATAATTAGGGTTGTTCCAGTATTCCGGTAAATAGCCATAAGGATCGTTCCAGTATTCGGGCTCCCAGAATTCTGCGATGAAGGCCCCTCTCGGATCATCAACAGCCATATTTTCAATGGATGAGATTCTTCTTCTTCGAACAGTCGTTTTCTTTAGAGGTACGCTGAATCAATGCCTTTTGTAGAGACGGAATAAACTTGTGGCGGTCTTTTACTCACCGCATAATTGCCTCGATGCTCAAACATGACGATAGCAGCAAAAGCAGCAGAGGAGACATCCTGGGGCTTTTCTGATTGCTACAAAATGATCAGCAGATAAGAGCTGTGAAGCCAATAGCACCGTTAAGTAGGGGGAAGGGATAAAAAATTTGGAAGAGAACCCATTCAGAGATTCTCTGAGACTTCTGAGGGCACTGTTTTTGCTGAAATGAAGGATCCCACCAAAAAGCGTCCCTAAACACTATTGGTGCCACAAAGTGAGGAAAACCAAGTGCGTTAAGAAAAATGAGATGAAAACTTCTCTGGACTGGAAGAATTTGCCGAATGGCATGTTAGAACAACCTACTGACTGCTCTTTTATAACAGACTACCGCGTCAAGAATTTTCTAATAAGCCAAGTGCAAGAAAACATGGAAACGGTGAAGGCAAAACATATTCTATACTGAACTTGTCCNAAAACTTCAATATCTTCGTTCATACGAAGTTAATGATCATGACTAACCTTCTTATATTTGCCGGAATTCTTCATAATAATCGCAAAACCATTTCAAGTTGAACTATGAGTACATGATATTAAAATGGCTTTCGTCTTTGTATATCACAAGACAAGAGCGTGTTTTTCTTCAAACTGCCTTTTATTTTCTTCAAACGAGAAAAAGTAGTGTATTGGGATTGCGAATGGCATCTTGGAAGGGAGGCTGCGTTTGCAAGCTTTTTTCTCAAGCAAGGTCGCGATGGGATTTATGCACCCAGTGCAATCCCAATTTGTATTTGTCGCTTTCGCAGGGTATATTACCTTCTTTTATCACTCGAAACAATCGCTTTCAGTCCCATCATTCATCAGTTCAATTACAGATATCACATTTATTTCCGTTTTCATGTATCATATGCTTCGAGTTCTGGAAAAATCTGCCTATGATGGTCCTCAAGCATTTTTTATCGCTTTTTGACGTCTCTCTTTTTTTTTTGTGGAAAGACAAATTCTAGCACAGAGGAGACTGTATTGGCTGAATGCCGCGATGGGAAAGTTTCAACGGCGTTGAAGGGCTACCTCAAGCGATTCCCGTGTTGGAAGTTCAACCAACTTGTCACGACCCATGGGGACAGTGGAAGGCAGTTTTGGACAATTTTGGCTAGATGCAGTCAGCTGTTCGCACAATTGTAACAACTGAAAGTTGTTCAAGTACCTTCCGTGCCGTTTCCGTCATGGTTATCCCGCCAATCTTAGTTGGAAGTTCGTCGGTCTGAGTTGCAACTAGGTAAGAGGTTGTCTCAAGCGTGATAGGGAAACCCTAAAGTTCCGAAACTTTCAGCCTATGAATACGACCAACTCGTCGATCCTCAGGCACAATAAATGTTCCACCATAAAAACCCTGTTCGGCAGAGAAGCCCTAATTATTTGTAGATGTGTTCGTTTCAAAAGGCACCTTGAAGGGTAGAGGAGTAGCGGGGGTGTACCAATCTGAAAAGAGGTCATAATGTTAAAAGTGAAAAAACACTGCAGAACTACGCAATATAGTTTTTCAATTCGTAGTTTCTCACATCCACAAAGTTGACAAGCTCTTTACTGGGGTCCAGGGTACAGTCCATTCCTTCATTATCAGCAGCCGAATTTTCATCAAACGAATGTTGAAGAAGGTACGTTTTGGGTACATGCATGTTGAATCAATCTTCATCGTGAAAGCGCTTAACTTGTGGAGTGTCTTACTCGTCGTAAAAGTCCGTCGGTGGCCAAGCAGCCGATAGGAACAAAAGCAGTGACGAAATCTTTATTCATCTTGCGTTCATCTGCCATCATAGGACGTTCGCTAATGTTTCTGTTGCCGTTCATTCTCCACATACACAATGTCTGGCAGGAAATACCGTGCGATACTCTCTGGGGTCAGTAATTAGGGTTATTAGGTGGAAAGAATCTGGGAAGCGGAAGGTAGCGAAAGGTATAAGGTAAATTTCGAAGTAGTCCTGATTTCTCCAGGGATCCTCGGGAAGCTCCCATTTGGTTCTTATATAGGAACACCATCATCGCGTATACGCATATGCACATCGTTCTGACGCTGAGTATCCTTCCTTCGCTGAGTATCCTTTTATACTGTGCGTTTCGGTAGTATACGTCCACCCCTCATCTCAGCAAAAAGCTTTTTAAAGGGGTGATTCGAAGTGGAAGCGTGCAATAGTTAATTAGCTGCATTAGAATACAGGGAAACAGGTTTTCGGATTTTCAAGCTTACAAAGAAATGTTTTATAAGTATTTCCTCGAATTTCTACCGTCTCACAGTATACGTCCACCTCAAACAACAATTCAAACTCAACAGTGTACTTCCTTAAAATCAATAACCAGTAGGTGCACCCTGTTTTAGTGAGAGCTCCATGAGTCGATGCGGCATACTCATTGTTAAGTTCCTGAAGACTGGAGGGTTGATGTTTCTCCACGCCTCCATGAGCGCACTTCGCAGCTCGTCGATGGTAGAAACTGTCTGTTGTTGGCGTACACCCGTCGCACAATCATTCCCCGAAGGCTCTTCATTTCGCTCCTTTCAGGTCTGCACGCAGGTCACTCCATAAAATCAACTTTCTGTTGCTGCATTGATGCGGATGTTGACTTGCTAGCATGGACACTTGCGTTGTTCTGCTTAATGAGCAGCCTTTGTCTTCGCCTGCGGCTCAGAAATGGCAATAACTTGGATTCCAAAATCTGCTGATGCGCTTGTGAGTCCATTCGAAAGAAACAGATGCTAGGTCCAGTCTGCTATCCCAGCAGTAGGCTCCCCAGGTCGTCAGCGAACCACCGCTGAAGTTGCATCTGCTGAACAGCACTGGGTCCTTCCTCAGATCACGCCAATAAAGTCTTGCTCCATCGGGTTCGTCCAAATTGACCTTGTTCCTGTCGGAGAAGATTACCTGAAAACTTCAAACTGCTTAACAGTGCACGAGCTACGCCTAGCTCTACGACTGCATCTGTTTCCAATCCGTGGTCGCATTCTCTCGAGCAAAATCGAGGCTAGCCATCTTGTGCGAGTTGGTTAAGCGTAGCGCCCTCCTCATAACATTTCTCGCAATGTTGGAGCTGCGTTTGAGAGCTGTCCAAACGAACGTTTTGGACGCAAGGGGTCCCAAGTCTGCACGGATTTGGTTGATGCTGCTGGTGCTGACGCTGCTGGTGCTGTTCGAAACCGTCCTCCGTATTTCTCGTTAATCTGTGCTTGACAACTAGCATTGACGATCTCTTCAGGATCTCTGAGGTAGAAGCAAACTACCCAGCAACCACGCGAAGAGCTCTGCCGATTTGCGTCGAGTGCTGAGTCCAGCTTCATGGAGGGCTCATATCTGGGTCTTTTCTTTTGTAGACAGGCTTAGACCAAATGGCTCCGCAAGAAGACATTTCGCCTTCGGTTTTCGTTCGGACATATACCCCGGGTGAAAAAAGAAAAGTTCTCTGGGGTCATATATCAGGGGTGGACGTATATTATGGAACTGGCAAAATTCAGAAAAACAAACCTAAAAATTTTTCATGTTGTCTAACTGAAAAAATGTTGTTCACTGTTTTCTTGAGACATGAGTCTGATAATGTGTGCTGCTGAATCGCGCCAATTCTTTTAGCAAAATTTTGTCAAAATGATGGGTGAACGTACACCACTGAAACGCACTTTATTAATTTTACGGACGCTCGAAGAAAAACTTTGAACAAATATTTCAAATCGTAAACGATCCTGCAGAGCCTAATGAAATTCAGTGCGTTTCAAAAGTATGTGCACACCCACCATTTTAGTTTTTTGGGAAATCCATTGCTTTCTGTAACCTGTCACCTTCACCATTCAATTCCTCGCGTGCGATAACCTAGAAACACTTTCTCTGAGATAACATCGTAGCGCTAACACAATTTCTTATTGAAAAATTTTTTCTTCTTTTCAAAAGTATGTGCACACTTAGCAAAAAACAAAAATGTAACCGAGATCAGAAGTCAATAGGGCCCCTTTATTTCTGTAAAGATTATCGACTACGAGGAATCGTTTGAAAATGGTTTCGTTACGGCAGGTTTTTTTAGTTACCTTTGAAATGAAAAATTTTGAGTGTGCACATCCTTTCGAAACAAAGAAAAATTTTTCTTAAACAAAAAATTGTGTTAGCAGCTACGATGTTTTCTCTGAGAAAGTGCTCGTAGGTTGTCGCACACAAGGAATTGAATGGTGAAGGTCACAGGTACTAGAAAGCAATGGTACTCCCAAAAAAACAAAATGTTGGGTGTGCACATACTTTGTTTCCAAGAAACATACTGTAGTCCATGGTCGAACAACTTGCAATCTTGGCAAGATATATGGTAAAGATAAATCCTCTCTAAGCCTCTCAATGTTGACTACTTTATTTGGCCAACGTTCTGGCTGCTTCATCTTCGTCAGGGCCTGAAATAGTGCAAAACATTTGAGTGGCATGCTTGCCCAGACACTTCAACAACAAAACTCTCAGAAAACTTCAAGTAGACTAGCAAACCCTCGAAGGTGTTGATCGAATGAAGCATGGATTGGTCACCTTGAAGTCCGCCGCCAAGGTAGGAGGACGATCACCCTCGTATTAACTGTTGTTTAAAGCGAATAGCGGTATCCAAATCGCTTCCAGGGTCATGCGCGCTGTAATCTCGGGTTCAAGCGCCAATATGATCACGGAAGCATCAAGAGATAAACCTGCGTGGAATAAAACTCAATGAGCTCCTAGCGGGATATGCATCCTTGATCCAGCCAGCTCATTTAGATGTTCTTTAACCCGAACGCACGAAGCGCGACGTGTTTATCCTGTGTACTCGCATCCACAGCTTTGGCAACAGAAGGAATAGGCCACTGCCACCTTCATGCAGTCACCCACTTTGTGATGAGAGCATACCACACAGTTAGAAGTGTCGCATACGGTATCATAGAGTCGACTACAAACAAGAAGCTTCCGAAGGGTGTTTGAAGGTATTTTGACAATATCGTACGCATATCGTCTGGAAGACCACACCGACGCACAAGTGATCGGATAGATCTACTTACTTCCTCGGAAGTGAAAGACAAACAATAAGTCGCCTCGTCGGTTGTGTTCTTTCCCGGACTGTCGGTTTGGAGAAATACCTTCCTCATGTTGACCCAGAGCACAGATATCCGTTTAACGAGTCAGTGTTCTGAACTATGCGCAAGGACTCCTTCTTCAGCTCAGCATCGGATGAAACTTTATTTGCGACTGTGAACATATTGCTGTATACCGTCTGTTCTGTTTTTATGGGGTGCGCAGAAAGGGAGTGGATAATTGTGTTTATACAGCTTAGCTTGCGGTACCATTTTGTCCTTGCTGTGCTCCGTATTACCTGGACTTTTATATTCAAAAATAGCAGCCAGTCCTCCACCGGCTTTTCCCGTTTAAAGTTGATGTTTTGTGACTGCTTGTGCGGGAGATCGCAAAATATGTTAATCTCTTTCTGAGTCGAACATATGATAAGGCAGTCAGAAATGAACGGTTATATGGGATTGGGCCACGGTCTAGAACTGGCTTCTCGAGTTTCGACATAAGCGGTATGGTCAACATAGGAGCTAATCGTTATTCCATAGCTAGACCACGGGACCGCTTATAATACTCCCCCTACCACTTGAAAAAGGAGCACTCCAAGCACTCTGCCAAGATCGTCATCACTTGCGCAACAGGAAGTGAAGGTGTAGATCGGGTTCATGTTTGCGAAGTGATTCGCATGTGGCCTCCAGCGCTGCTTCATTTGAAACATTAGTGTACAGTGATGTGACGGCAAAAGGTTTCGTCGCACACCCTTCTTGGAGACTGGCGATGTGCAACTTATTGAGCAGCGTGTTAGTGTTGGTCAGGTGGACGGGAATGTACCGAAGCAATTGGCTCGAGGTGATATTGAGAAATCAAGATATTTTGTCCGAGCTCCCCCAACACCACCAACTATGGATCTAACCTTGAATTTGGTGGGCTTCATCGAGACGGGGCAGGCAGGTAGGGCACACTTAGGCGACTGAGGGTGGTATTAGGCAGCCTAGCAGTCTTCGCCACACTACACCAAGTTCTGTTCAACCTAAGATATTGCTTTTTATATTCCTTTTCGGGCGATTTGCAATATAATGCGTCGCGTAGGTGCAGTTTCGTGATTGCCTTACCAAGTTATTGTGGAAGAACGACAAACTCTACACCTTTGTCGCTCATTGGCTATCGAATTGTACCCGCCCTTACGTAATCGCCTAATTCCTCAAACCCACGTTTCTGCGAAGCGGAGAGGCAGTTGGAACTTACTGGTTAGTGTCATTTGCAACATGGGTCTCTGAGGCTCTTAGAAACTGGAAGGAAATGGTAGATAATGGTAGAGCAGGGAAAATTCTTTGCCGTATCTACCGCGCCTCCTCCACCCCGCATTGCGTTAACTCTATATCGGAGTCGTTCATGAAGGGTTTGCAAGTACCCTACGATTTCACGAGAAACACTTTGGAGTTATTGGCTGTACGGAAGCGAAATATGGGCTCAGTTTCAGTAAGGAACGCGCATCGTTTGAGAGGGAGATGTTGCCTAAAAAAATGACTCGCAAATTCGGTAATGCGTCCATTTTCTATCCCACATTAATCACAGAACAGATAAAAAAATAAATAGACATATTCGAATACCTGAGTATACCTGAGTATAATACC